GAATGTATGCAAATTTGGTCGCTGAGTATGTGCAAAACTAAAAACGCTCAGGAACCTCAAGATTGAACGCATATACTTCAATTTACCTTGTAAATGACGTGCAATATATCCATGAAGAGTGATCGAAGTGCGATTTGAGAAAACATTTCTCTTAAAATGATATTTTGACATTTCTTTAGGAAATTTATCTGCCTGCATTATTGTACTTATTACCATGCGCGACGCCATTTTGGGCGATATTTCTGCTAATGGATCGTGCCTCCAACTAGATCGCGATGAGCTGCGCCCTACTACTACAATAAGGGCGATGAGCAACGCAATTTTATATAATTTCGTAAAGGGCTGGGTGAAGCGGTTGCAGCCACTGTTATCTTCACTATCATTATCGGTACTTACAGTTAATTTCCATTTAAGGTATGTTTTGAAGGCTGATGACGATGTTTATGTACGTGTTCCAAGATTAATATCATGGCTTGTCAAGTCTGGATCTCCCAAGTCTTTTTACGGAGGACACATTAGACTAGATACATACAAATTTATCATTCGCGATCCTTGGGAAAAATGGTACTTGTCGTATGAAGAGTACAGCGAAACCTTTTATCCACCATGGTGCAATGGCCCTTTTTATGTGATATCTAGTGATAACATACCTAAATATCTCGATTATCTTCACATTAGAAATCCATTCAAGAACGAGGACACATACACTGGTGTAATATCTCATGAACTCGGTATCAATGCCACATTGATTCCTGGTTTTAAATTCATTTATTCAAGATACAAAARCGTGACTATTGAATTCAAACATCTTATAGCTCTTGGCCATAATCTGCTGGCCAAAGATCTAAAACGTTTTCATGCCTATTATACACAAAACTATGCTCTGACATCAGGGTGAACAAATGTTGTAAACTCCCTAAGACTCTCAAGTAATTTAGAAAGCTTAGAAATAAAAGAAAGAATAGCAGCTTACAGTTACAGTCAGCGAACGTCACGCGTGAACGCTCATCTTCCATTATAAAAGTTGACTAGATTCATTTCGAAAATTCGATTGTTGAAAACAAAAACTCAATCATAAAATTGATTAATGGAGAGTCAAATCAAATAAATTGGTTTTTTCTTTGATCAGTTAATATTTTGTGTTAAAGGTAGAAAAGTTTCGAGTTTTTTTCAGTACATTATAAATTCATGTCATTGTATTGTGTATCGCCACCAATGGTTCTCTGACCGTTACTAAGACACAACTACCRTATTTGCTCGAATAAGCGCTTCCCTCGATTATGCGCCTCCCTCGAATAATCGCCCCCTCCGATCTAAAATAATTAATAAACGGCTCCCCCGAATAAGCGCCCCATGCCATAGGCCACATCGAGTACATGAGTTTCTTGCTCTTCGAAAAAAAAGAATCAGGTAGACCGTGAAGATGAATAATTAAAAATTAATAAGTAAAAAAATAGCAGTTACTAAGGCAACAACGCAGTTTACAGGAAAGTGAGTGAGTGAGTGACTTAGTGAGTGACAGATCGTTCTCCCAAATAACTCTTCGATTGCTAACGCAATCTTCGAGTTAAAAATGATATAGAAAATGCTTTGATGTTGTAGTAGTAAMAATTGTTATTAAAAGAAAATCATACTTGGTCCATATTTAACTCGGAGATTGCGTAAGCAATCGAAGAGTTATTGTAGTGGAAGTAATGTTTAAAGTCCGACAATGAGGACTGGACGGGGTTTCAAGTCCGCGCAATTAGTTCCAGTCCGAGGCGAACGACTTCTCATACTCATTAATTATTCGGGAGGACAAAAAAGCGAAGGAAATACATATAACAGAAATATATTGATTCATTGCATCTCCACCAAGGTTTTCAGTTTTCATAATTTTGAATAAAGAAGCACCGTTTGTTGTTTTCCAATTCCCGAACGGCTTTCTGAAACAAAAGCTTTTCAAATTGTCTTTGTTTGCTTTTCATGGCATTCCTAATGAGCCTAATTCATAAGTTTTATAAGTATGTTATCTTCCAAGGAATCGCATCAGAAACTCGGTGGTGTAATGGTATAAGACGGCGCATATAGATTGGACGGTTCGGGATCGTTTCGTGAGGGAGTCATTTATCAAAGACCTTTTTTCACTAAATTAATTCTATATTAAGTTGATTATTTCTAATACTTTGATTATCATTAGCTAGTAGTAGTTAGAAAAAGCTAGAAGTAACTAGAATCAAGGTAAGAGTAACTGGAAATAAGATAGAAGTAACTAGAAACAAGGTGGAAGTAACTGGAAATAAGATAGAATACAAGGTAGGAGTACTTCCTCTGGTATCCAGTTACTGCACGTGGTACAAATTACAATCAGGGATTGGCTAGATACCTCATGAATAATTAATGAGTATGAGAA